CAGTTCCCACACAGTCAGAGACAATTAGTTGAATCATATGAAAAAGTGCATTGACGATGGGCCAATATTTTGAGAAACAATCAACTAATCTTTGACTATTAATTTAAAATTGTACATAAGTACATTTTTTGGAAGGATACATTAATTTCTTTATGAACGTGGAATCGCGTGGAATCAATCAATCTAAAATTTCTGTCAGTATTATTTATTGAGTGTGTATAATTTTGGCATTTATTTGGAATGAACTACGTGGATATAAGAATACTAGCTGTTTTTACCACACATCAGCCAGTTATTGCAACTCAGCTGTGTGTTCACCTCAGAATTGTGTGTGTTAAATAAAACAATTACTCTAGTTGAATATATAAAATACGCTTTTTTAAACATTTGACGTAAAATACATCATTAATACTTGTTAATAACAAGACATTAATTAAATAATCTAACCTAATTTAAAGATTAATTTTATGTAAGAAATAAATTACATATATGAAACATTTGAGCTTTCCTTTTATTTTTTATAAATGCATTTATATACACCAACGAAGCAGATTTCGATCACTGGTCAAATTAATAAAACCAAAAGCTTTCACTTGTGCAACGTTACAAGAAACGTATATTGGTTTCATTCATTTATATAAATATTACATTAAAAAAATTCAAAGATCAAATACTTCTCAAAGAAATGTGTATAATAACTATGTTACAAAATATAATAGAAAAGCAAACTGGTATAAAAAGTCTTAATAATAAATAAAACACTATTCGAGGCCCTAATATCAGTTCAATACATAACTTTTACACTAAAAATATTCACGCGATAAATATTTTATTTCACTATGAGTGCATATTAATTTTTATTTTCACAATACTAAAACAAATAAAACAAAGTGCAACATACGGGAATCAGCAGAAGTTAATTAAGAATAAATTATAACTATTCAATTCAAATTTTGGAGAGCACATGAAATATGATAATTGATATATACCAAATAAATAAAAAATACATCAAATTACTGAGTAACAGTACTGGTTTAAAACGTGAATTTACATAATTTTCCCTTAAAAATCACAGTGATATATTGATTCACAAGTCATACTGCAATTATGTTTTGACATAGACGATTTAACAAATATATAATAGTAATGGTTTGCGAGCAGTAAACTAATAATATTTTTTGGTGCCACGTCGAAATAGGATCCTGTTTTTAATTCAGCTTTATGCTCACAACAAACAATTTCCCACTATTATAACAGAGCCTTATAAGTAAATGCGACAGGTAACGCACATATGATTACGCTAAGCACGAAAATAATGGAGAGTTCATATCAAATTCGTAATGATCACATAATAAATGTTTCTATCAATATTTGCACTCCCCCCTCCTTCTCCGTAAACGGACCTTAAAGATTTGCAATACCACATTGGACAAAAGAGGTCGATACGAATTGGATGCATACTCGATGGTGTCATGTTAAAGGTACAATACATCAGAATTATCTTGTACACCGTCAACATCTTTTTAAACCCGCAAAAATGTATTACAATGAATTCAACATTATTTATATTTCAAACATTTCTAAATTCGTTTACATTACAAATATTATGCACCTTCGCAATAGCCATCTGTGCTCCATTATACTCAAGTAAGTAATACATACAAATATATTCTTTAATTTTATATTACGAAAGGCCACACCTTTAAAGCAAAGAGAAAGCGTTTGATATATATAATGATTTTTATAATGTCACAGTACAACAATTTATTACAAATTAATATTTTTTATATTTAACAGATTAAATATTTCTTTATACATCTTACTATTAATGAATAAATATAATCTTAATTAAAATTAGGTACAATAATATAAACGATCCCTTAATAAGATGTGTGAGCAAAATCAATAAAATCTTATTAAAAATACATTACTTCATTGTATAAGAACAGTTTTGACTCGACTTTGTAGTTCTCTTAAGCTTCCTTTCATAACAACTCTAGTGAAGACCTCAGACTTTTAAATTTAGATCTAAGTAAATTAATATTGTAGCTATAAATATTATTATCGTAATTTTTAAATGTAGAATAAATAAACTATCTATAATTTAAAAAAAACTGTTTATCTAATAATAATATAATGAAATCACACGAATGTTCATTACTACGTTCTAGGCTAGGCAGACTAGGCTATTAGTTAGGCCATGCGTATTCCAATCCAACAATTGAACTTAAAAAAAAAACAAATCAGGTTAAGTAATCTTATTGCCAGATCTCTTAATGAATGATAAATGTTGTAAGAAAAATTATGAGTATTCATTACCTAAGTTCGTATATATACTAATTCTATATACATTAATGTTATATCTAAGTTATAAAAATTCTATAACATTAAGCGACATATCGCACACCTAGATCTAAACTGAGACAACTCAAAAATTTGATTGAGTTTTTACTTAGTACAATATTCAAATTCTCTGTGATCATACGCATCTATCCAACATAACAGATTCAATAAAGGTTTGGGGATGAGCCACTAGATAACTTTAGCTTTCTTTTGTTAAATCAACAGTGGTCGCGCTCCTGTCACATAAACAAATGTATTGTCAAACCTCCACATTCGTTTTTTGAGTTGTCTTAGTTTAGATCTAGGTGTGCGATATATTAATACATAATTATATATTCCGAGAGGCAAAAGACTATTAATCAGTTTAAACGACATTTTAAGCGATATTAAGTTACATCCATATTTCGCTGGTTACAGAGAGCTATATACAGGTAAAATTTGTAAACAGTGTACGAAATTTTATATCGTGTTCTTACGGTAAATTATATTTTTCTTCGTACTTAAACCATTGGGAAATTTATGCACTGATAATCATTTTACCCGCATGAGGAATTAAAAACAAGAACCAATAGCCCAAAAACTACATTACAGATATACACATTTAGCAAATGTCAACATCAGAAAAATCTGAAAAGGTTTTTTAACTCAAACTATCAAGTGCGTTTGATTTGCATTGAGGATTTTTTTTTAAGTTTTGTCCTTCTATCAATAACACTAGAGATTTCAATAAAACTATTATTTTAATGGCGTGACGACGAACCTTTTGTCAATATATCGCGCCTTTAACACAATGAAACGTAATTATTATATTTTAGCTCTATTATATATTTAATTTAATAATTTGGATTATGTCGCTTTCAATATAAACTTATGTTTTGTACTTTCAAGATAGAAATGAAAAACACATGTATTTCTTCTATCTTGAAACAAAGTATCATTGTACCTTTATTTGATAGTTGTTATTAGATTTTCCTTAATCAGCTGTTGTACATACAATATATCTATTTATTATACCTATACATTTTTCTCTGTAACTATGTCATCATGTAACTGGAAGAGAACCGATATATGAATCGCTGGTTGCAAGAAAATTGGTGGGAATAAGCAAAAAAGGACTGCCAAATTGACATAGTATCGGGCTAAAAAAAAGGGCAATTACTTAAATCTTTTAAAAGTGTTAATCCGTTGACATTTAATTTTAAAATAGATTAAAGTTTGGCTTTTTGTAGTAAGTTGATGCCAACTGTACATCAGAGGACTAAAGGGCACGATTTGCCGGTTACTCAAGAAAATATTTGTGCAGATTGACTACTATAAAGTAACACTTATTTAAATAGGTTGGCAGTCAGTCATACAAACAAATTATAATATAGCACAACATTGATGGTGGTTATTTTTTTAGTTCATTTATTATTGAGCAACTCTTCTACTGTTTACCAACACTTAGATACAGTATGTTAAGAAAAGGCCAACCGGTTGTATTGTTTTATTCAACATACACTTTTTAAATTGCAATATAGGGATATTATTTTCCATATTTTATTCATTCAATCGTCCGCCACCATAGTTAAGAGCACGACAAGTTAGTGTTGCTCGCGTAAAAAAATGCGGTTCACTAATTATATTCCTTAACCCAAATTGATCATTGTGTGTGATTGTATATAGTGTTTACCGACAGTGATAATCCTATATATAAACTCGATATCGGCAGTGCCAGTGCCGATTTAGCTGAATTGTTTGTCGTTGTCCAGGGAAGGTTTAAATGGTAATACAAAGTACACCGTACAAATACATATCAGAGACATTAGATTAGTAAAGTTAAATTCCGAAGCGATATATTTAAAAAATACTATATATGGTAGTACCGATGAGCGTTAGCTATTCAAAAACTATTTTCAGATAATAATAGCTCGTGACTTATTTTAACTCTACATCTATTAAGTTTATGGATCTACTTGGTGGGGGTATAGCAAGGGAAGGGGAATAGTAAACATTGCAAGATGTTTTTAGTACTCGTTCTGTGTCAAAGCATATCTACAGTAATTTATTTAATGTAAAGCCATAGAAACGAGATAAAATTTATAAACAACCTGACTATTACTACTGAGATATTAAGATAACGGGCCATTATAATCTCGGTCTTTGTCTCTCGTACGATATAATGTCGTTAGACTAAGAAAAATAAGTAACATAAATAGAAGATTTATGCAATCATGGTCCAATAAAGTTATGAGCAACATTAGATACGCCGCCATTTTGTATTAATATTGTATTATATAATAAATATTGTATTATTAATAGTTTTGTCATAAATACGCTTGGTTCAACCTATTCGGGTAATTCAATCGTGCCACAAGTAGTAGAACAATAAGTGTCAATATCTAAAAGTTTGTCTGAATTCTTTATCATACTTAGTTGCTCATACAATGGCGTCTAGAGTTCTTTTTACCTGATTAATTAATACAGATTTACGCCTCTAAATACAGCGACATCTAAGCGAGATGATAGCGTACTACAGATACAAAGTCCCTAGGCATTAGATCGAATACCTGGTCGTCGATCTCTTGTTGGTCGTCCTCGCACGATTCGTCTAGTGTAATGTTGGGGCTGGGCGTTCCGCACTCCCCCCTACCGTTTGGAGGGTGATTCACCTCGTGTCATGTGACCTCACGACGTACGTTCAATATACCGGCGCGGCACATAGGGCATTCTTTCAGTTGAGATGTGCACACCGAGCAGAATCCTCTGCGCACAATAAATATTTCCGGTCAGTATTAACTAGCTGAGCGTTTTTACACTTGTATCTATACAGACCCGGATCAGGAGGGGGCAAGCGGGCGCCAGTCTTAGTGGGGTGCCGAAATCATCATTATTTAGTATCCATATACAGTTTTAAAAAGACCCTTCATACATATTATAGATTACGATGGGTTGGACCTGCTTCGAAAACTTTGAATGAAATAAAAGAAAAATATCACACACTGCAAAAACTTGATAATAACAAGCGGAGGGGGTTAGAGGTAGGGCGCCATTCGAAGTTTCTGCCCCGGTTGAAAAATATCGTAGATCCGGGCCTGTATCTATAGTCGAGAGAAGTATATGCTCGAGAATATGACATAATTCAAGTATATGTATATTTTTACTAAACAAATAACAATTTGAATAACGAAGAATAGTTAATAGTTAGGATAATATTATTATTAACTATTAAAAGTCATTCTTCTTCATTCAAATTGTTGTCTATTCATAAAAAATATTTGCTTTAGTTTTTAAATTTTTTCAAGCTATTATTTCTCTCAACTATAGATATGAGTGCCAATGTTACACTCTGTATATTGATACAGGGTAACAAAAGAACGGTCAGTATGGGACACTTTGAAACTATAACACACATATAGATTTTTCCTTAGGAACCATCTCATCGATCTGAGCGAAAAAAATATGTAGATCTTAAGCAAATAATATTACAATGAAACATGATCTCCAAAATTAATCAACCAACTGGGCTTGGTTAATACTGCTTTAGGCCAAAGTTAAAATTTGCTTACCTATGACCGCAAGGCTCCAGTACACAACATGCTGTGTCATCGAAACAGAGCGTGCAAGAGTCTTCCTTCACACTCGAACATCTAAGCTGTTCCAAATATACTCGCCTGGGCACCACCTGTTTACACCACGCATTTGTATAACATTTGTTCATATAATAGGGTATACTACTCTGTTTGAAATAATACTTGTAACTGTTTATTTCATTAAAAATAGTCATAAAACAAATATGTCGGAAAAATAAACACGATTTCTTGCCTTAAATTTAATTCAAAATTCAAACTTTTTTATACTTGCGAAAACTCTGTCCGTCATAGTCATGTCATTGTGATATGTACACAAAACAGGTGCATAGAGAAGATTAAAGGATGTCAATAAAACAAGAACAATGCCATCTAGCGATCGAATACATATGAAAAAGATATAAATATATAGGAAAAGCGCTATCTAGACATTTGATTTATAATTATTAAGGATATCTTTATGACTAGTCTTTTTTACATATGGGTACGGTGACGTTTGGGATTTGAAGTTTTTAGTGACGTGGTAATAAAGAAATATATACTTATAATTTGATATTATTGAGTTCATTTCTATTAGAGATAATCGATTTTGAGGTCAATGTAAAAAAAGGACTTAATAAAAATACTTGTTCATCAACAAGATGAACCTGTGCCAGCAATAGACAAACTTTTATTAAAGTTGAGTTTAATTGTTAAAACAACAATACTTTAAAAATATTAAGAAATGATTACCGAATGCATATTTCGATTAAAAAGCTTGGTTCAATCCCTAATAAAAAAAGTTCCTATTTTCGTTTTTGTTTAAAATTTTAGAGGGTTAGAGTTCAGTAATTATGGCTATTTAAAATTGACTTGCGTTTTACTATGGAAATTTAAATAAATATCGTATATATACACAGCCAAACTATTTTCGATAACAATGGTAAGTAATTATTTGGAAATACATATTGTTTGAAATGGATTTGTTAACAAACGTCACCATACTCATGCTATGAGAAACGGACTATAATCTGACAGCTGTCGCCAAAGTGCCGTCACACAATGGCGGGTCGTGTTTGAAGTCACGTGACACACAAAACAATAAATCACGACTTTTAAAGATAATAAGAAAAAGTGCGATTTCAAGACTTAAATCATAATTTCTATGTTTATTACGATGTAAATTTTAGATTTGTGCAATATCGTGACTTATTTCCGACTTCTGAAACTAGTCTATTGAACTATCATTTACAAACACTGAATTCGGACAATGATCACCTTATTTCAACGTAATTTAATATGTGGTAACAAGTGCATTCCGCGAGTTCAATGGTTTAGCGTGCCTTAGCACTAGTGGTGTAGCGTATCTTGGAAGGGCCTTACATCAAAATTAGTTAGGGGTCCTAGATGAATCGTAAAAACTTCTGCTTAAACACGTTACTGGCTCTTGTAGCTACGCCCCTGACTCATTCCCATCGCAATCATCACAAAATAGCAGCAGTTTATATGAAATATAAATAAACAACTAGAGGAACGTATAGAACTTACCTTTTTTTCTTCATCAGTCAGGTGCCCATGTTCGTTGAATATAGAGAAGGGCCGGTCTACTGGTGGATACTTGAAAGGTTCGCTACCAAAATTGAACAAGCACTGTTGAAACGCCATGAAACTAGCAGCCGCGAAGAATCCGCATCTGCAATGTCGGTATGAGGGTTACTGTTTTTGGGTTCACTTGTTAGCGTCGCTAAAGAATAAAGTCTACGACATCAGGGATATTTCAAAATTCTTGGTAAGAGAAGTCTTGAAAGAAGGAAGAAACAGTGGTTCCGAAATATCAGAGTCGACGGGAATAGCTAGGGCAGCCTAGCTGTTCCTGGAACTGGTGACAGTTGTAACAAACTGGTGGCCAAACTTTACAAGCATTTTAAGAGAGCGAATCAAGTCCTGAAGTGTAGATGTTTATATTAAGCATAAGTTTTTCGCTTAATTTAACCTATTAAAATCACCTTTATGTGTGCGCCGGAGCCGTAGGAGGCGAAAAAATAGTATATTCAGAATTATATATCTTTGTAAGAGAAGATAAACCATCGCACTCATGAACGTAAGTTGTAATGAAAATTCGTCTCTAGCGTCTTCTTCGGCTCGAAACCGAGTTGATATCAACCTTACACCCCGGTTTCTGAATTGAGAATATAAAGTTACGCTAGTCACAAACATTATTTAGGACCATTTCAAACATCACTTAAACAAGGTTTTCGTTTCTGATTTTAATTTTTTTTTATATAGCAGTTTGATAAAACAAAGACTTTTTTTTATGCATGTAAAAACGTAAAAAAACTAAAGTTTGTGCACTTTTCTCAGTTCAAAAACTGTGTGTGTCTGTTAATAATAATTCACCTTGTTGTCTCGAAGATCTCGTGACAAGTTTGTAGACGTTTGCCGTTGAGTGAGAATATGACTTCTCTAGAGGGGAAGTCTATAAGGCAGCCGAGCACGTCGCCCGGCCGCCACGCTGCCACCTCGGTCACGGCGGATGCCCGCGCTTTGTGCCATACTAACTTACGGCAACCGTCATACGAGAGAGAGTATAAATCGTCGCCTATACCGTAGCCTTCCTGTACACAAACATCAACAGTGTAATTAATAAACAAGGTTTACCGTTGGAGTAAATTTACGCAAATTAAAGTCAGAATTCATATTAGGGCCAGTTTTTTTGATCCGTAGTCAAATGGCACTTCACCATTTGTTAACTTGACTATAGTTAATATTGTTTTTACAAGTTGTTAACTCCCTATTTCTGTTTTTTGATGCTTTTTGATGCCAATATGTTTTTTTGATGTTTTTTTGATGCCAAATTAAACCATAGCCAAATTAACCCCTGGCCAATTTGTTGCCAGCACAATGAGTCCGTTTTTTTCGTTATACATTGACATGGGTAATTTTTTTTCTGGGTGACAACACTAACGGTTTGAATGAACGGAGCGAACTATATACCATTTTTTGACATTAGGATTTTGTTCCAAATATCAAATAGACGAAAGAAATCTATAGATTATCAGTGTGGATGTTTATGGTTGTTCTGTTGTGTACACTGTGTTATTTTTCAGGAAATATAAGGTAATTTCTTTAATAATGTTAGAAAGCAACAAAGATTTTTTTTTCCAGTTTTATAGAAAAGCATATATTTGTTGTTTATTTATCTTATAGATAAATACGTAAAAAGAATATAGTATCTAGTATCCAAGGTGGGATTGTAATGTTGGAAAATAAGTTTGGGACTATGTATTTTTATGTACTGTAGGCATATTTACCTTTTGTATTGTCTATTCGTGGATTTTATAAGATTTTTAATAATTGAATAATTTGGCATATGCCCGTGGCAATAAGAAAAAAAATATTTTATATAGTACAAATATACTAGGGATGATCAAGATAAAAATATAACTTATTTTCAATAACCCTATAACCCAAAAATGACAATGAATATTTTTCCCATGAAATTGTATCATAAAACGAAATCCCAAAAATAGCTAATGTCCAAATTCACTATGAAATCAGGTAGGTTATAAAAACAACGTAAAAAAACAATAACAAGGGACCAAGTAAATACAACGCAGTTGTAGATCTGTTCTTTTAACCATTGGTTATTTACTTAACCTAGCTTCCAGTGATGGTTAAATTTTTTTGACCAATGGTTGTAATTTTGACAATTGGTTAGGCTAACTATTAATCAAAAAACATATTTTCTGATATTTAACCATTTGTCAGAGATTTTAACAAATGGTTGAGTTAACCACGGATCAAAAAAACTGGCCCTTACTGAACAGATAATTGGCAAAGGTAAAACATAGTACGATGTTCTACGGGAGTAATATTTAGTCCTAGAAGATAGTAGATTTGTTTGTTCTGTGTATAATATGAATTTGGACTTGTACTAAGATTATAAATTTAGCGTAAATTTACTTTGACGCTAAACCTTGTTTAATTAACAAGAGCCCTGTAAGAGTTTAAGGGATCGGTTTCTTATTTATTTGTTAGAAATAGGTTCGTAAATAACCCATCATTTTACTGTTTTAAGTATACGTAAAAAATGGTTATTGTGGGTTATCCTTGGAATATAGACATATACCACCGCGGACTTTTTTGTAGGTAGATCTATTAAAGAGGTACAATTCCACCATATAATTTTCGAGGAAAGCTTCTGATCGGCTTTATTTTTTAATAATTAGTAGTTAGTAATAATTACTAATAACTAAAACCTTCCTCAAGAATTGCTCTATCTATTGTTGAAATCCGCATAAAAAATCCGTCCAGTACTTTTCCAGTTTATCGCGAACATACAGACAGACAGAAGCGGCGGGGTACTTTGTTTTATAATATGTAGTGATTTAAGCATAATGTCGTATGATTTTTTTTAGCATATTATAATCAATCCTGCCGCCATACGCTCGCTTCGATCGCTCTGCTCGATTTGTATGATAACAGTTCTAACCACTTTGTACGGTTCTTTTAGGTCCTACAAAATTTCTGTTTTATCATGAAATTATCTATAAAAATATATTAATACTTCTTTCATCAGCGCCACTGTTTCTGAGACATAATTCAAAAATGTTGTAACGGTCATAAATGATATAAAGTATTGTGGTATAACAAAAATGTCAAAAGGAAATAAATTGAAAAATTCCTATTTTATCATTTTACAAGACTGTGTGCTACTATGTTGCGCCGCGCAACAGCTAACTAATCCTCTGTGATGAAGTCACAGTATTTTTTAAATTTCTTTAACACTTTTCAAGTTATCGTTATATCTCGATATTTTTAAGGTGTTCTGTCATTTCTTAATATATACACAATACTTACATGATTTAAGAAATGACTATTTTTTGTAGCCCATCCGATTTGCATGACGCCCGGCGTGATAATGACAGATTCATAGTACCAGCACCCGTCGTCCACTTGAAACGTACAACGTACGCTCTCGAACGAATACGAATCGCAGCGCGCCTCGAGACCGTTACACGATATCTTCAGATATTCGCTGACATCATGGGAGTTCAGAATTACATTGATCTCACTCATATCAACTTTTTCGTATGACAGTTCTCTGCCTTCGACGATAACTGAAACGACGATACTACACATTATTATTTATAATCGATTGATCGATTTCACATTCTCAATAATATAATGAAAAATATTCTTAATAAATTTTTTTAAATAATCCACTTGGTCAGGTTGCAAGGCATCAAATGGCTTTTTTTTATTATTATTTTGAAAAATGACGTTTCAATTGTGTTTACATTACTAAATGGCGCGAGTTTTATGAGAAAATAGTATAACCATAGAGTGTCTTTTGTTTGAACTTGAATACAAAAATAAATAGTTTGCGTTCTTAATTATATAACCAGCCAGTAAGAAGTAATTCTTGCATTAGTTTTACCTTTAAAGAAGAAAATACTACTTTATAGAAGAAAATACCAACAATATAGAAAGATTTCGAAGTATCACAATAATAAAATAATAATAAATGCACCAAGCTATACTTATGCTCTTTTTAAATAAATATACTTTTTTCATGGGAGCATTCTTAATTATATGGCCACCACTATAATATCACAAACTAGTACATTGATAGTAAAAAATATAATTGATTTATTTTTTAATACAATAACTGGATATAATTGATATTAAAAAAACGGTTTTCGATTCACGTTTGTTTGAAAAACCATCGTCGGGTTTTATATTACTAATAAAAACTGAGTTAACAACCGCTTCCCCCGTTCAAAGGACATTTTACTGTTAGAGAGAGAGAGAGAGAGAGAGTGTTGCAAGTTTGTATGGAAGTTCATCATTATTGAAGTTAGAAACGTGAAAGTGAAGTTCAGTGAAGTCGTTTTTATGTTTTGGCTACTTGAAGAATAAAGAAGGAAATCTAGAACTTTGTTTTTTTTTTCTATACTTACTGAAAATGGAAGTTGATTTCCTATTATTTTTAACAATTGCGAGGTACTATTGGTAGGTATGCATTTAATTTTGATGATATGAGAATGGTTTTAGTTATTTTTAAGGCTTATCTGTACTACAACAATGTTGCTACGTGTGAAATAAAAACAGATTATTTAGATTAATAATAATATATGCTTGATCTTACACTACACAGTAAATTACAGTTACAATTTATGTTATATCATACAGGAAATTAAAAACCTGTATTTGAGCCGTTAGATTGTAGGCATTAGGCGATTTATTAATCGATTTATTAATCGCCTAATGCCTACAATCTAACGGCTCAAATACAGGTTTTTAATTTTCCTGTATGATATAACATAAATTGTAACTGTAATTTACTGTGTAGTGTAGTTTACATTGATTATTATCAATGGCATTAAAAAAGTTCCATGTCTCTAACATCAAAAATGTAAACTTTCAACCCTTAATACAATCCTTTAAGAATAGAATATTCACAATATACTGAAACAGGAATTTACTATTTTTTTAAATATAGTCTTAAAACATGTCTCTAACTAAATGAAACAACTTTAAATGATTTCAGCATTTATATTTGCTTTCATCACGTTTCGGACCCTTAACAGGTTCCGAGTTCACTAAAGAACAAAGTTGTCGATTCACTTTTAAAAAAATATATTTAATAATTATAAAAAATAATAATTTAATTTAATAAATATAAAAGTTTCCATAAAATATAAACTTTTATATAATGTGAACGGGTCCAATAGTGCTATTTTGAAAGTAAGGTCTTAAGTGGACACGGATTCATTTAATTTCATTTAATGATTAGTGAGCATGGAAATATGTTCTATCAGTATGTTTCTAACTTTAAAACCGATACTTTCATAAACACTTTTAACCCTTATTCCATCCCAATAGGGATTGAATTTCCGTGAAACTTTGTTAGTGAGTGTTTTCTCCACAAATCATTATACTGACTATAGTATAAACCGTTGATCAAACTTTAATAGTTTATGCTAGGCGAATCAGTAATTGAATAAAAAAATAATATTATTTGTACACATTTATGTATTTTTATTATAATATATCTATCTATAGTTGTACTTGTAAGGTATATTTACTTATCTTTAACAACAAATCACAACTGTGTCAATTCATTAATCTTTTGTTTAATTTTTAAATAAATATAAATGCCCACTGAGCGTTTAGTAGGGGGGAATTAATGAGCGCTTATTAGGAAAAAACCCAATTCGTCCAAAGCGCCCGGGCATTATCCCGTCACTGATTATGATGCGACGTTACGGCTTAAAATGACACGTGACTGACTGTTTTTGTAGACATTTAAAATTAATAAAAAATATATACCTATTTATTCATTCAATAACTTTTCAGATAAAAAGAAATCTGATAGTGGCTTAATATGATCATATGAACAAATTAAAATATTTTTCCTAAAGTACCCAAGTAGTTAATTAATGTGTTAATAATAATAAAGAAAGTTGCCAAAGTAGTTGTATTTTCACTCACACAGGTTATCCAGTGTCCATTTGGCACAGAAGCCGACCTGGCGCCACATATAGTCATCGCTATCAGCAAGCTCCTCTAATATAAGTAGCGGATTGACCTGCTCCTGTTCAAGTCGACTTTTGATTGTTAACTTATTCTCTGTAGTGTGCGCAAACTTCTCCAGAGCTATCAATGCAAATAACACTATACATGCTTCGCGACGAGTTATCTGAAATGTTTCAAGAAAAAGTTAGTAATTATCGGGCTTAATTATCAAATTTGCCTCATAAGCGTCTGGTTATCAATTCTAGCGTTACCATCAATTTTTCATTCGCAGAGAAATACTGGAAAATATTCTTAATGAACAATGCTTAAAAAAAAGTCCCTAGCACTCTGGGATGGGATTTGAATCCTTGACCTTTCGTAATCCGGGCGACTGCTCTAACCACCAAGCTATCTAGTCCTAAGAGGACTAACAAAGTAGGTTTTGAAGTACTTTTCATTAAGAATATTTTTCTAAATTTTACTAGTTTTTTATGAATAAAATAAAAAATTACATTATAATTGAAGACTATAGTCGAGAGAAGTAATTACTTGACAGTATTCTCATGAGTATGAGTAGATACCAAATAAACCAGAATAAAGTAAGAAACGTTAATGGTGAGTATACTTACTAATATTTAGCTATTAACAGTTTTTGCTTTATTCAAATTCTGGTCTATTGGTAAAAAATATTAGCTTAAATTATGACTGTTTCGCAAGTAACTACGCTCGATTATAGTTAAGAGTGTATGACTTAATAAATAACATAAATATATACTGACCAAGAATGTGAGCAGATAATCGAGTGTTTTGTCAGTGAGTACTGCGACACTGTTTGGTCCGGCAAGTTTCTCAGCAATGCAGCCGAGCACTACGCAAATGTTCCGCTCCACTCTTACATTCAAATCACCAGTATTCGCACGCTGCGACGACAACTCGAATAATTCAGTCACCTAATTGAATGAAAGTATTTAAATAATATATAGTGTTTAAATGAAAGTAAAGAAGTTACTGGGAAGAAAATATTTTCTAAATACATCCAATTTATTAGAAATAAAATGAAAATGTCTTTATTCAAGTAAGCTTATTTCAAGCACTTTTGAAACGTCAAAAAATTTTTCCCCATACCATTTGATCAGGACATCTTTTAGCTGACAAAAACAAGCGAAAGAAACTTACCAGCTTTTTATCTTAAGTAATGACATTGACATAAATCATGTCATTACCAAAATAGGACGTATTATAACAATAGTAAATACAATTTTCAAAGTCTGTACGAAATAGGTTGGTAGGTATATATAATTAGTCGTTATAGAACAAAGCGAAGGCTAATAATTCCATACATTGCGGTCCTTAAAATAATCACCAACTTTGTTTATAGGCAATATTAAGCTCTAAAACTTTTTTTATAAATCAATCATGTATCTCTTGCCATTTCGCAGGCAGGCGGCGTTCACAGGAATAGACGCACTTGGAAGTACTTATAATAACTTGGAAACCTATTAGTGGATCCGTGGAACCGTACCCAGAGCGTAAAAGGACCCTATTACTATAAAACTTTGCTGTCCGTTCATCTGTCTGTTAGTCCGTCTATCATCAGACTGTATCTATATGAACTGTTGATAGTTAACTAATTTAGTTGAAATTTTCACAGATAATGTATTTATATTGCCGATATAGGATTTTGATTTATATTAAAATAACAATTTTATTTATTTTAATATAAGTATAAAATAATTTTATTACTTCCGTGTATCGCTGTAATGTATCAAAAAGTTTTTGTTAAATCATCTGATGATCTTGACTTACCCTAATGACGGATTCTTTGGACGGTAATGGACAATCGTCGAACAGTATGGTGATAGCAGAAGGGCCGAATGGGTCTTCCAGGGGGATCACGTTAACCATAGAAGAAACCACCTGGATCCATCCATCTTCTTTGTCGGCGATCACGTGTAATTTAACCAGAGATACGGGAGATTCTTCATCACTGAAATAACATACAAACTACTAAACCTCATTCATATTCTCAATGCAAAATGGAAATGTGTAATGGTGTAGTATAGAACTTATAGGAACAACACAATGACTATTTAAATATAAACACATTTTATTTGATATCACTACCATAAACAAAAATCAGTCATGCATGAACGTACATGGAGAATTAAAGTACCTATAGTGTCTTCAGGTTACTTTATTTTATTTCAAAATCAGTCAATGTTTGTATGAAACAGTTGTTGTTGTGGTTTTCAAATTATGTGAGAATGGGTCTATAAATCTTAAAAAACAAAGTCGCTGCCTGCTGTCTTACGGTGAGAACTTTAAGACTACACAACAGATTTTAAGGCGGTTTTCATGAATGTACAGTCATTCAAAAGGAAGATTTATATGTATAAAACAGGACACGCGAGCGAAGCCGCTGGCGAAAAGCTAGTTTATTAATAAAATAAAAAGAGTTATCCACCTAAAATTCTCAATTTAAAATTATAATAATTCCTTTCATCAATTTAAACAGATCTGCATCGCGTTGTAACAGATTAACTTAAGCTGAAAGAGGCGAATGAAAATATGGGCACTTAATTCAATTAAGACATTTTATGTACATTCGCTAAGTGCATGAAGTATATCCGCAGTGCAATAGTTAGATTTTAAGGTTCATTTTCATATATCACGGTAGCGCGCTTTTGAGCAAATAAGCAGACAAGTAAGTCATGGTCATAATTAAAATTCACTTTTACATGGATGCCTGGTATAACGGAAAAACTTTTGAAATATGCTTTCAATAAATGGATAGCTTTGCCATAAATAATCAACATTATATCGGTAACATAATGATGATATTATTACTTTAATTAATATCATTGTCATCTTATCTTTAACCTAAGAACTAAGATCAAAGTTCTAGGTCAACTTTTATCATTTACAGTAGATAATAAGTAGGTTAACAAAATTCAAGCAGGAAGGCTATTGCTCTACTTTGCTTTCCGTATTCCTCAGCAGGCTTAAGGGGGTAATTTTCTTATTTATAACTTTAAACCTTAAATCAGGGCTCTCCGACCCCGCACCCATACTGAAAATGATAGGCTTAACCGTGACCAGCCTACCTGATAAAACCCGCTGGGTACTCGACCCACGCGGGGTGGGGGTATTGGACGGGGATTAGAAGCCGGGGTCCAGCAAAAAGACCACCAAAGAAAGAAAAATCGGAGGAAGGACTCGAACTTGTGTCTCCTGGGTCTGGGATCTCACGATATCTAAGTTATAACAACCCCGCCTGAGGTGTTGTCGATTACTAAATTACAATTTCAAACATAGAATACAATAATTCGCTCAAAATTTTATAAAAACAAGTATTTCAGTTTGCGATTAAACATGAATATAAAAATTGTTGCTTGGTTTTTAAATAAACATACATGTAAAAATTTATTTTGTAGGTCTATAACTATAAAATGTATTTAATTAGAAGACAGTATTCAAATAAAAAAACTATTTCTAACTATATCCCTCTAGAAGAGAGAGAATTTCATAGACGCACAGCGTGCACAGCAAGATTACTTTGTAGAGCAGTATTTCCATAGCAGACGATATTTAGCCATTGGGGATGAAATCAATTTCCTAGGGATCAAAATCAATGTCGCACATAAAAAAAGGTTACCTTGTCCCTTATAATGGGTATTGCTATTTCTTCAAATATTTCTTTGTCTTTTTAATAACAAACATAAAACTTAAATTACCAACACAAAGTTGGACAGCTTACTCTATGCAGGTAATTGTAAGTCTACTTTTATGAGAATAAATTGAAGACCGGCAATGGTGCCTTAAATAAAATAAAATAAAAAAGTTTTATTTCATTAACATATTTGTGGTGAGAATCTCAATAAGTTAAATAAAGAATGCTAATTGTAAATGAAAGTTAAACTAAAATTCAAACAGTGGATCAGAATGGTTTCGTAGGATTCTTTTCAGTATGAAAATTTATGCAAGTTAAGATTGAATTAAAAAATACATTTCGCATACCTAGATCTAAACTAAGACAACTCAAAAAACTAATGTGGAGGTCTGACAATACATTTGTTTACGTGGCAGGAGCGCGACCATCGTTGATTCAACAAAAGAAAGCTAAAGTTATCTAGCGGCACATCCCCAAACCTTTATTGAATATGTTATGATGGATAGATGCGTATGATCTAGGTGTGCGATATCTAACCTTATCTACTATAAGGTAAATCTGACTAATGAACTAAATAGAAATTCTTTTCTATGAAGAGTTTTAAAAAACCATCTTACTTGTCAACAAATGAGGCTATCAGTGTGAGCATCTCTAGGACTAGCCTGTCGACGATGAATGTATCCACCACTTCTGGGATTCGGGGTCGCAGCTCAGTGCCCACAGAGCCAATGCCGGAGCCCGCCGACGACGTAGCGTACGGCGGCTCTTCATCGGATATTTTGTCTTTACACCAACAGACACCCATTACCTATGAAATTAAAAATTTACATAATCAATAACTAGTTGTTTTCTAAGTGGTATAAATGGAATAAAAATAAATTAAGTTGTGTATTAAAAGAGAAACCTATACAAATACTTTCCGTGTAGGTTCATTTATTCAAGTTTTTTTTTCTATATATGAATGATATAGATAAAAGTGTTGGAGATATTCGAATGCCGAGTGGCCTGAAAGTAAAAGCACCAGAGTATGTTACCTACTGAGCCAGAAGCAGAACTAAAAAGAGTATAATGTCATTTCAAATTCATCTGCCACAGTATCAATCAGGTGGTCAACTTTACATGTGCACCTATTACAATTTTATTCCAATAAGCCCATTGCCAACAGTATAAAATATGTTTGTACCAATTTAAATTATAATTAGATAAAATAATGCAATTGATAATATTGCCAAGTATTGGTTGTTCTTAATAAAAAAAATATATAATAATTTCATTAATTAATTTCAGATTATTTATTTTATTTATTAGAATCTTAGGGTTTAATACTCTAAGAAGGATCACTGGTGAAAATCACAATACAACTTATATTTAAAATAATACCAGTAAAACATGCAAAATACAAAATTGTGTTGAAAACAAAAGTAAAGTATCAACAATCAAATCATTCATAATATAAAAAATTAACAACAATAAAAATAATTCAAAATCCTTAACCAGATACGCTTCTCTTAACAACTCCAATGCCATCGATCAAAACTTAAGAAATGAATTATGGAAAATGTCCACAACTGCCAATTTGTAGTAAACATTAGGTAAACAATAGACTGCAACATGTGGCAATGTGTAAGTGGAGGCAAATTGCTTGCAAAATACTGGTACTGGGTAGCATGGTAGTTTGTGGGGAACTCCTTTGATCTTCCACTACACTTCTGACATTTTTGTTAGAAAAGTTACACCCAATATATTCTTCCTTTGAAGAAGACTATCTTTAGTATACTAGTAACCATTAGTGTAAGAGGTCATAACAAAAATGTACAAAAGTTTTTTAAAGCTTTATATTTCAGTATGTTGAAGTACTCAATACAAAAACAGACATTTCAAAAATATGTACGTAAAACTATGAAAATTTCATGTCATTCTATGCTAATAATGTAGTTTAAATTGCTGGAAACATTTTTGAACTCTTTAAGAAGATTTTTGTAGCAATAATTTCTAGAAATTGATCAAAAATCTATGAATACCTACAAATATATTTTAACTTGATTATATTGGTAACACTTTACATAGATGTGAATCCATTATTGTAAAATTTGAGTGTTACTTATTGTAATTATTGTAAAATTTGAGTGTGAGTACAAATATATTTTAACTTGATTATATTGGTAACACTTTACATAGATGTGAATCCATTATTGTAAAATTTGAGTGTTTTTGCATATTTAGTAAATAACATAAAGAAGCATAAAAGTACAAGTAAACTTCTTTACTTTCCAAGTGAATTTCGAAGTATAAATCATTTTCTTGCGAAATATGGTTCCTTAAGATAGAAACTAAGTACTGTATCATATGTAACGTTACAGATCTGTGTATTTTGAAGTTAATCCAATAATTATCAAATCTACATGGGATTTAACAATAAAATGCGTTTTTAAATTATGTCCAAATGTGCCTACAGAATTCAAATATATATGAAAATGCTTCATTTGTCCTTCTCATAGAAAATTAACCGTTGAATTTACATTACATTTAATGTTTTCTTTACGTTTCTAGTGAATATACCAATGAATTAAAAGAAGGTAACATACTCACCGTGATTCTTCAATCATATCTTATGTTGAATTATTACAAAACGTATTCGTGGGTAACTGTTGATTATGGGTAAGATATGGTTTATGTACGTGAACAAGTAAAATGAGTACTGTGGCTTTTATATTTTTGACTAAACATATGTCGAAGGTATCCTGATCTTGAAAAGTATTTTTGTAAACATCCTGCCAACATCCTGCAGTGAGAACAAAAATATTCTCTATGGTGTAGACTTTTTTTAAAGGTTTTACTGGTCTTGGCTTCTATGGCCATCAGCCGTCTTTATTTTAAGATAGGTAGGTATATAATTTATATATTTACGAATATTTCTTTTATGTCTGTATAAATATTTATAAATTTCTGGGATCAGTCCTGCGATTCTGTAAAAATCCAAATCCGAATTCACTCAGTTGTCCGAATTCACTTCAAAAAGCGGCATCCGCTCAATCTTGTAATAATAATGTTTCGTAGCATAAGTGAAGTGAGTTTCGAAATCACAAAGAAATAAATGATTTGAGACACGTATATTCAATCAATTTTGTATTTTTATACAAAAAATAAAATTTGTAAACTAAAGCACGTGAATTCGGACACATGAATGAATTTGAATTCGGGTCTGATTTTTTTACAGAATCACAGGGCTGCTAACTTGTAATTGGCGTAGTACATTATTTAAATTTTGCTTTCAGTTCACAATGTCACAATGCCAAAGATCACAATGTCAGTTCTATTCAAAATAGGGTTGATTGATATTAGAAAAACATTATACCCCTATCGAAACTTTTTGATTATGTTTCAGGTTTTAGTTATAGGTGTTGTTCTGTTGAAAGATTCACATAGTTTTAATTAAACCATTAAACCAACCACAATTAAACCATTTCTGTTCACTAACAACTGTCTTACTTGGGCATCTGTTTTTATATAATTGATATGATTTCTAGAGTGATTTTTATACTTTTTAAAAGTTGTTTTGTTTTTCTATTGTTACTTGACATGCTAGATTCCACTTTGGAACTAGAAGTTTAGTTTTGATCATACATTTGGTTGCTGATTTTTTGGTACATATTGATCTTCTAAATTACTGAATATTTTAGTGGACATGTTATATAAACTTAATGGGTTGTTCAAAATAAATATTGTTGAATGCTTTTTCAGATGCTAAATAAAAATCGACCCAGTTTCTCTTACTATAATGGAATTTATCTTCATATTGCACTGACATATATTTTCGAGCATATATTATCAACTCCACTATGATAGGTAGGTGATGGTCATTGTGTACTCTCCATTCACAGAGGGGGCTGAATTTGGGTTGACTAGAAAGATATCTATGGCTGATGGATTTTGATGTGGTCTAATAGTTGTTGTAAAGTCACCAGTATTAAGAATGCATAAGTTATTATCATCTAACCAATTGTATAAGGCTTGTCCTCTAATATTAATGTCCAGACCACCAAAAGCAAGATGAGGATTGTTATTATCACATGCTATTAGAATAGGTGTCAGTAGAGACTGAATTATGTTATTAAGACTGCTAATATCAAACCTGGTGTATCAAAAATGAGCATAAATGCATAAAACTGTAATGATATCAGTGTTTACTGTTAAAGAGTTTTGTTCACAAAACAGAGTACTAATAAGTTTGTATTTTAAATTGTATTTTACAAGAATAGCTATACCAGTATGGGAATTGGAAGGATTTCTAAAGTGAGTTTGATAATTTGTGAATCTAATAATCAAGTTCGTCTGTTAACCATGTTTTATTAAATAAACTTATATCTATATTATTCAATTGTAAAAAAAGAGTTCACCAATGCTTTTTTACTTCAGAGGTTGTATGTTATGTTAAGCAATAATAATATTTTGTTCATTTGTACAAGTTGTGATTCTTTTGGTTTTCAAAGGTACATCATCTTTTTTATTTCGTAATTAGTTACATAGTTTGAATGAGTGCATTTATTATTAAAGGATTATTTACTATGTCAATAAAAATTTTATGATTAACCTTCGTGTAATATTAACAGGGTTATTTATTTTATATTTAAGAGTTGAAAAATGAACTTTACTTTGCGTATAAGATGTTCATTGGTTACAGTAGCTACGTATGTGTTTATTATTTTTTTCCAATTTTTTCTAAATTTTAGCAGAGATTGATAAATGAGATCCTCTACACTTAATATTTTCAGGCGTGGATTAAATTTAAAGCACTTGAAGCATTAAAGCAACGGTGGTGTGTATTGGTGGACCTTATATCGCCAGTGATTTAAATAAACGAAGTGTTAAAGTTAAACAAGATTAAACAAATTATTTATGCAAGAAAATTAAAAAAAACCGGTTCATTTCGTCTGCGCCAAAAGTCTATGGCAAAGACTACAGTGTATAATAGGGAGATAGACAGGAAACTTCACGATTGAGCGAATATTGACCACCAGCGCCATCTAGTACATAGTTACCTAAATTAATTCATATGAATACGTTTATATAGTATGTACTGTATGTAGGCATAGGTGTACTGGTCTTGGCTTCTATGGCCATCAGCCGTCTTTATTTTAAGATAGGTAGGTATATAATTTATATATTTACGAATATTTCTTTTATGTCTGTATAAATATTTATAAATTTCTGGGATCAGTCCTGCGATTCTGTAAAAATCCAAATCCGAATTCACTCAGTTGTCCGAATTCACTTCAAAAAGCGGCATCCGCTCAATCTTGTAATAATAATGTTTCGTAGCATAAGTGAAGTGAGTTTCGAAATCACAAAGAAATAAATGATTTGAGACACGTATATTCAATCAATTTTGTATTTTTATACAAAAAATAAAATTTGTAAACTAAAGCACGTGAATTCGGACACATGAATGAATTTGAATTCGGGTCTGATTTTTTTACAGAATCACAGGGCTGCTAACTTGTAATTGGCGTAGTACATTATTTAAATTTTGCTTTCAGTTCACAATGTCACAATGCCAAAGATCACAATGTCAGTTCTATTCAAAATAGGGTTGATTGATATTAGAAAAACATTATACCCCTATCGAAACTTTTTGATTATGTTTCAGGTTTTAGTTATAGGTGTTGTTCTGTTGAAAGATTCACATAGTTTTAATTAAACCATTAAACCAACCACAATTAAACCATTTCTGTTCACTAACAACTGTCTTACTTGGGCATCTGTTTTTATATAATTGATATGATTTCTAGAGTGATTTTTATACTT